TCTCTCATGCTATAGAGACAGTCATGTGTAGGATTCACCTATTTATAAAAAAAAAATACGAAAATCGATATATGTGTACGAGAAAAAAACACTCTCCTACAATATAAGAGTATATTTTTCCTATAAATAAATATAATTAACGAATATCCGTGTAGTACAAGTATTTTTTTAAGCTCAACTAGAATTTTTATAAAATAAATATAGATTAAAAAATACAATTAATTGAATGAAAAAATTCAATTTAAAATTAAAAAATTCAGAACAACACACATTTTATTTTTTTGGTGAGTAGAACAATACATATTAATATTTGAGAAAAAGTAAAATAAAAAATTAAGTCGCACTCAAATTAATATTTATTATTTAATATATAAAGGTAAATTTATATTGAGTTAATTTGAAATTTTAATACATGTTAATATTTTTTAAAATTAAGTAACATTCAAATTATTATTTAATACTATAGTTAAAAAAGTAAGAGATAAATTAAATTGGGCTGATTTAAGCTTTTTTCTAAAGTTGGAACCCATTAAAAATAAGATTGTATAAATTAGTGTAAATTAAAAAAAAAAAAACATATAACGTTTACTCAATTTATATCAATTGTATTTTATATAATATTTATAAATTTTATAGCTAACAAGTCTATAGAAACTTGGAGAAGAAAATTTCATTTTCTTCCTAATTCAACGAATTATGAATTGAATTGTTAGTAACAATCGCTTTCGTAGGTTAAAGAATTAGAAGCCGATTTTATGGGGCTTGTAGAATAGAAAAGAGAAGGTTACTTGCACCATCCAAATTATGCACGTGAGGGTTTATATTTCTTTGCTTTTATTTTCTATTTTAACTTTCAAACTTACAATTTTCAAACTTCTAACTTTCATCTGCTAAAGCGGTAATTCCCCTGTGGGGCCTCTCATGTCAAAACCTGTTGTGTTGAATGGAGACTCAAATATTGCTTTTATTAATAAGAAGCAATGAAACGGGAAAGAAGACTCAAAAGATTGCGGTGATGCGCACGTGTTGGTAACGGACACACAAAAACACAGTAGCTACCTTACTAATAATAGTAATGAAAAATAACAGTAATGACAATTCTTGAGTCAAAGTCAAATGTCACACTTTACTGTGGTCGTCCGTCAGCTTCAAATTCAATGGCTCGGTTTTCCTTGCGTTGAATTGTTTGCCTCTAGTTAACGAGCAAAACTTGCGTACCGCGGTGTAGCCACATCGGTACTCTCTCTTTTTTCCAAATTTGAAAAAAGAAATTTCCATTCTGCTCTTTTCTTGCATTTCTATTTTCATGTATGTCCGAAAACAAATTTCTTCTTTTGGACAAAATGTAGGTGCATCGAGTGCACAAATAATTTTTCCTAGTTAATATAAATTTTTAATTATTTTTTAAATTATTAAATTTGAAAAGTATTAAATATTAATGTAGGACATTCATACTACTACTTTTTTCTACTATCAATTCACTACTGCTCTAATCATTATTTGATCAAATTTTTCGGCTAACAATTTTTGAAATGTTTCTAAAGAGACAAAAAAAATTAACTTTTAATATTATAAGTTTATAAGTATGTACTCTGGGGAGTACATAGTTATAGATTATAATCAGTGGCGGACCCAGGAAAATTTCTTTATGTCCGCACATTTAGTTGTGGAGTTCGGGGGCAGCGCCCTCGAATTTTTTTTTTTGTAAAGAAAGTTTAAATTAACGCTTGAACACGTTCATAATCTAGTTGCTTTCCTAACAAGCTGCAGACAATAGTTTGACCAATCATTAATTTTCTCTCTAAATCTTATCAATCCTCCAAAACAAATATGAGAATATACTCCAATACATCCATATATCATTATTCTATTTTATAGTGGTGAATAAAAAAGTTAACACTACCTGTACAAAAGGCAAGCAAAATCACAGTGAAGATCTCGTCTCTAGATATTAACTTATTTGAGAATGTCGGACTTGCAATCAATCCTCTTTTTTTATAAAAATGAAAAAGGAAACAAAGGATGACGAGAGCATGTGAATGGGTACGTGACAGGGGAGGAAGAATAAGTTTTCTCTCTAATCAATTTGTGTTGCTACGTTGTTTTAATTATCTCCGTACGTTGCTAACTAATATAAGAATAAATATCTTTTTTGGTCCCTAATTCGGTCTCCACTTTAGTCCATTATAAAAAAAAACATTAGTCACCTGGTCCTTATGAAATTCAAAGTGGACCCATTTTGGTCTTTTTGAGGGACTAATGTAGGTCTTTTTTGAATTTGTGAGGGACCATGATTTTACCTAAATTGATTCACTTTGAATTTTTTAAGGATCTCGAGACTAATTTTTTTTTTGTAAGAGACTAAAATGAGGACATGTTTTTTGTTAGGAATTTAAAAGGATATTTACTCCTAATATAAATATTGAATCAAGAGAAAAATAAGTACCTGCAACAAAGAAAAGGAAAAAAAAACTAAGTTCAAAAGTTTTATGTCCGCACTGGCGGACATTTGCCCCAACGTGGATCCGTCGGTGACTATAGTGGATGGTAGTAAAAAAAGTGGTAATATGAATATCATACTTCCTCAATATTTTATATTTTCAATATATTAAATATTTATATTAGTAATAAGAGAATTATTTGAGAAATTTTAAGAAGATGTAACAAAACTCTTAATTTAAATGCAAAAGCAAATTATTTCTACAATGTATTACACCTCTCCCCGTTGCAAGTTAATAAGAAAGAATTATTTTGCATCCCTTTTACATCAAACACAGTTCTTGTATGTTGCACGAGACAAGCAACATGAGAAATAATATCTTCTTTTTTTTTAAACATAATTTTTTGATATATTCTTATTTGGTGTTTTGGGAAATTAATTTTTAATGGAATGATCAGTCTCGCAACTCCCTCATGATACTTATTTTTAATTTTTTCTTTTTAAATGAGTACCGTGACATTTTCCTACAATACTCATTAACTTTACTCTTTTTTTCTAAATAAAAGGGGTACGTGAAAACCCCAAGCTCCCCACATTTGTCTCTCCCTTCATTTTTTGCCTCATTCTTTTCAACTCCTTCTCGCACTCCTACTATCAAGTCCTTTTGAAGTGACAATGGGGAAGAATTCTTAATGCATGAGTTCTTCTCTCAGATGGGCATGCTCCATCAAACTTCATGCATAGAGACCCTACAACAGAATGGGACCGTGGAGAGGAAGCACCGGCATATACTCAACATTGCAAGAGCATTAATCTTTTAAAGCAAAATTCTCACAAACCTATGGTCATACTGTATTATGCATGTCATCCATATTATCAATCATCTTAATTCACCTATGCTCAATAATAGGTCCCCTTATGAGCTCCTCTATGACAAGCCACCAGTCTTAATTCACCTCTGAGCATTTGGTTGTCTTGCCTATGCTTCCACAACTACAAATGGCCGTTTAAAGGGATATATACTATATGATCTGATATTTAAGCAGATTTTTATCTCACGAAACATGATCATTTATGAGGCTATCTTTCTTTTTTCCAAGGATCAATCAAATACTCAAGTCCAATGTTGGCCACTCACAGTGGACCTTTCTATTTCATATGACTCGCCTTCCATGCCTCCACATCCTATGTCCCATAATAACTCACCTAAATTATTTTAATGATAGTAAATAAAATTGAGTGATGTTTGAAATTAAACAACTAACATTAGAGAGAGCTATATAATTGTTAGGAATATTGTATAGTGCCATACTTTATGTGCCAAAACTTTTATTGCTCATGGGTTTGATCATACTAGGCTTAGGGAAATATTAAGTGAATGGAACATTTTGTCTTATAGTGAGATGGTGGATGAGCCCTAAGTTGGCCCAAGGCACCTATCCAAAACACTGTCCATGAATCAAAATTAAAGAAAGTTATTTATAAGTGACAAAAAAATTCTTACGTCACATATAAAAGGATAGATCTCTATTTGTTTTTGTTTTTTTTTTTTTTTTTTAAAAAAAACGAAACAAAAGACAGCAAGTTTGACAACAAAAGATAGCAGTCTATGCCTCGATACGTGATCAGTAGTATACATGGATTATAATTTATTAAATTAGATTTCTGTTTAAATAAACGTGGTTAGGAGTTAGGACCAATGAAAAAAGTGTTTTTTTTTTCCCACCTTCACCCAAATTATAATATACAATTTGAGGCTTAAGATTATATTCAAATACAATTCAACTATAATTTTGTTAAACATAGTAAAGTTCAGAGTTTGGGTATACAAATTATAATCCAACATGCTACTGGATTTAGAAATTGTCTGTTTCTCCCACGAGTGTTCAACTCAACCTCATTCAAGGCCATATATGCAAATTCAAATACCATGATAGTTGTCTTACCGTGGCACCTAATTTGGAAGTGATGAAGGCAATATTCCCATGAGCTTTCAAGGTTTGTAAATTGTGATTTGTGGGGGTGATATCCACCACCTTCCAGGAACTAACACTCAAAAAGCAGGGTAACTGTGGAATGGAAATTAAATAATGTGGGCCCTCGTTCCCACGTAGGTTAATGGGGGGGTTATTGACTTTATGAGACACTTATCCACAACGCAATTGGTAAATCGCACCAAACATGTCCACAACCGCTGTATCGGTATTAGTCGATCATGTCCATCGCAGCCCCACTGGCTGCTTTCCACGCCCACTTATTACTCGCCAATCGCCATCGAACTTCTTCCTGATTTTTTTAAAATGAATAAACTAAAAAATTCTGCGGCACAGAAAGCGACAAAACCAAGAAAAGCACACAAGCAAGTTGTGTGCGCGCACCTGTAATAAGAATGACGTCAGAGATGGAATATTTTATTTGCGCAAATGGGTAATTTAAGCACGTGATAAAACCCACCCAAATAGCACTTGCAATTCACGCATGAGCAACTTCGGAGAAGCTAAGCTCGAGACCAATATAATATGATAAAACACCAATCACAAAGAGTTAAAGTAAAAGCCGAAACCATCATTTGAATATGAGAGATCATCTAAAGTCACTGATTTTAAGTTTATTATCCAAGTTCATGAACTTGCAGTCCTATAAGTACCCCCTTCCTCTCTCCCTTCTAAGTTCGAATATTCAATTCGATTCAATTCAACACCTTCTCTCAAATTTTTTTGAAAAAAACCCTAACCCATCTCTTTTCTCTATCTCTCTCAATCCCTAAAGACAAACACAAGAGAAGAGCGACACCCACAAACACTAAGGAACATCAATAACCTAAGACAGAAACATATTACGGCCACGACATGTACGGACAGAGTACCTATGAGTCCGATTTGGCCCTTTTGGATTCCATTCGCCGCCACTTGCTCGGCGATTCCGATGTATGTAGATTCGGAGCCCCGACTGCTAGTTCGGGTAGCGCTCCAGTTTACTGTCGGAGCTCCAGTTTCAGCAACTTGTACCCGTGCTTGAGTGATAATTGGGGCGAATTGCCACTCAAGGAAGACGATTCAGAGGACATGGTACTTTACGGTGTACTTCGCGATGCAGTTAACGTTGGGTGGGTCCCATCTCTCGACGCAGGGTCACCGGAGAGCTTCACGTCGGGTTTCCTGCCGACGGTGACAGTCAAACCTGAGCCGGACATTTTTCCGGCAGTGAACAGTCCACCGGAGCCCGTCGTTGTCCCTCCGATGATTCCGCAAGAGAAGTCTGCGCCGGCGGCAGTTCTGGCAAAGGGGAAACATTACCGCGGCGTGCGGCGACGGCCGTGGGGAAAATTTGCGGCGGAGATCCGTGACCCGGCAAAGAACGGGGCTCGGGTTTGGCTGGGAACATTCGAAACGGCTGAGGACGCCGCGCTGGCTTACGATCGAGCCGCGTACCGGATGCGCGGGTCACGGGCTCTTCTGAATTTTCCGCTTCGGGTCAACTCAGATGAGCCAGACCCGGTTCGAGTGACGTCGAAGCGATCCTCACCGGAGCCTTCTTCGTCGTCGTCGGAAAGTGGGTCGTCGGCGAAGCGGAAGAAAAAGATGGTGGGGCCAACTGTGCCTGTGGTGACAGTAGAAGGTGGATAAAAAACGGGGCAAGTGGGGTATCAAGTGGCACAGTGTACACGTGGAGAACGGTTATTGATCAGCTAATGCGTAATGCTGACACGGAATGCAACGTGCCACTCTTCTTTACTCTTTCTAAAACCCACTTTGTAGTTATCTGATTCCGTATGGCAGTGGCTCTATGCCACTCGCCCGTCCAACAAATTTTGGAAGCTGTTACAAAAATAACAAGCCAAAAAAAAGGAGGGGAAATGTGAGTGGAATGCTGGACTGAGATGGTGACCTTAGTAGGAGTTAAAATCAAAAGCTAAAGAAAAAAGAAAAAAAAGTAAAAGTGGGGGGAGATTTTGTTTTAGTTTGTGAATACAACATTTGTTATTATTTTGTTCAACATTTATGAATTTGTGAATTTTGTTTCATGAATCTTAACTCTTTATTTTCCAACTTGACATGCTGTTTCGAAGAATTCATCTATAAGGCTGATATAATTTTTGTTGTTAGATATCTACTTTAAGTTCTAATTAATTGAGTTTTCGGTATAAGAAACCCCAATCTTATGAGTAGATCGAATTATAAGATTTAGCTGACTCATAATTAGATCAATAACTCTTGAATTTTGATAATATATATGTAAGGATTATTTTATATCGGTATAAATTATATTTTCAATCTTGTTCGTAGATTATAATTATATTTAATGGTGATAAAGGAATAGAGAAATAAAGGAAATATAACCATTAAAATGTGAATCAATTAATATAAGAAAATAAATAAACAAAGGATTTTATTAATTTCATGTTAAAGGAGATAAGTTATCTCATGTCATAGAGATAAACTTGTGGGCTCCACCACCTGAAAAATAAAATAAAAATAAAAATGTGGCACAGTTATCCAAGGGTGTATAGGAGAGAAATTTATTACATGTAGCATAAGAGTAGTTTTTCCTATAAACAAAACGACGTAATTTTTGGATAGTCAGAGATAAATACATCTCAAGCTGCTTGAGAAATCATAAGCCCTATATATACAGGGAAAAACATTTCTTTGGCAAATTGAGATAAGTTTATCTCCGGTCACTCCAAAACTATGTTATTTTATTTATTTATTTTCTTATATTAATTTATTCACCTTTGAATGGTTATGATTCCCTTTTTCTCTCTATTTCTTTATCACCATTGATCCATCTTTGTACGGTTATGATTTAATAGCCAGAGATAAAATTATTTCAAGCAACTTGAGAAATATAAGAAAATAAATAAACAAAACGACATAGTTTTAGGCTAACCAGAGATAAATATATATCAAGCAACTTGAGAAATATTTTTCTCATATATATAAATATATATATATATATATATATATATATATATGAGAGTAGGAGTGTGCAAAAAAACTGGTTCACTTGCCCTGCCCTTGATCCGACCTTGACCTGACCCATAGATACCTATATTTTTTGAACTGGTTTAAATACTGACCCACTATTATTTGGGTCAGTTTTAGACATGACTTGTTTTAATATTGACCCAATGACCCAAAACTTGACCCATATCCATTATGTGAAAAAAGAAAAAAAAATTACAATTACATTAAAAGAAAAGTGTTAACGTAAAACAATTACGTCAAAATTTTTTACGAAAAATATTTTCATCAAAATTTTTGACTAACAATATTTCTGTAAAAAAATTTGACGGAATATTTTTTTTGTCAAATTTTTTTACGGAAACTAAATTTCGTCAAAATATTTCACAAAAAAATATATTCATCAAAAATTTCGACGAAAAACATTTTCATCGAAATTTTTTGACGAAAACAAATTTCATCAAAATTCTTTACAGATTTCAAATTTCGGCGAAAGTTTTCGACGGAAAAATTTTCGTTAAACTTTTTGACTTTTTAGCGAAACACATTTCTATCGAAAATTTTCGACTAAATATTTTCGTCAAGTTTTTTGATAAAAAATATTTCCATCAAAATTTTCAACGGAACACATTTCTGTAAAAAAATTTCGTAAAAATTTTTAACAAAAAATATTTCGATAAAAAAATTTTGACGGAAAAAATATTCTGTCAAAATTATTTAGAGAATCTAAATTTCGTAGAAAGTTTCGAATAAAATATTTTCCTCAAAACAATTTCTATCGAAAATTTCGACGAAACACATTTCCATCAAAAAAATTTGACGAAAAAAAATTCATCAAAATTCCTTACAGATTTCAAATTTCGGCAAAAATTTTCGACGGAAAAAATTTCATTAAAGTTTTTGACAAAAAAAAAATTTCGTCGAAATTTTTAGCGAAACACATTTCCATCGAAAATTTTCAACTAAATATTTTCGTCAAGGTTTTTGATAAAAAATATTTCCATCAAGATTTTCAACGAAACACATTTCTGTAAAAAAAATTCGTAAAAGTTTTTGACAAAATAATTTTCGATAAAAAAATTTGACGAAAAAAATATTCTGTCAAAATTCTTTAGAGAATCTAAATTTCGTCAAAATTTTCGGATGAAACATTTCCCTCGAAACAATTTTCGTCGAAATTTTCGTGAGAACACATTCCTATCAAAATTTTGAACGAAAAACATTCCGTCAAATTTTTTTACAAAATTCCTTTTACGTTTAAAACATTTGATGGAAGAAATCATTTTCGTCAAAACTTTTGACGGAAACTAAATTTCGATAGAAAATTTATTTTTGTAAAAAATTTTATTAGAGCAAAAATTTCGTCGCTTTTCGACAAAATGTATTCTGACGAAAAAATAATTTTGTGATGAAATTTTCGTCGTTTGCAACATAGAAATTTCGATGAAATTTTGTGAGGAAACCAAGTCAAAAATAGATCAGGTCAGATTTGACCCACTTCAGAAACCAAGTCAAACCCACTTCAAAAATCAAGTCAGGTCAAATTCGACCCGGTTCTGAACTAGTTCAACAAAATCCAAACCAAGTCAGACCTGACTTGGATCAAATTAAAGCGGGTCGGGTCAAAATACCTGACCTACAAAAACCAAGTCGGGTCGAGTCGGACAAAAATCTGACCCGACCTGACCCATGCACAACCCTATAGGAGATAGATCTTTTGACTACAGAGTAAGACTTATAAGTCTTGAGTAAGACTTATAAGTCTTACTCTTCATCAAAATCGTTGCTTTCTGTCCATCCAACGGTTATAATTTAGGAAGTTATATTAATTAATTAATTATTAATTATACTAATAATGACAACCGTTGATTTCTGTCCATCAACGACTGAGATTGTGAGTAAGACTTAAAAGTCTTACTCTGGAGTCAAAAGAACCCTCCCCATATATATATATATATATATATATATATATATATATATATATATATATGTGTGTAAAGTTGTTGTACGTACCCAATGGGTGCAACTCAGTTGGTAACTTGGCGCTGAGTTAGTGGGGTTGGATATGTGTTCGATTCCCGCTGAATGCATTCTTGGGGAGGGGGCTGAACATTTAGCCATCACTGTTCCCCCGCACTCCGGATTAGTCCCATAGCCGGCTCAAAGAGTCGAAGCTCGTGGGGATACCGGAGGGAGCCAACTCGTCTCAAAGAGATAATTAGGGTTGGGTAACTCCAAAAAAAAAAAGTTGTTGTACGTGCAATAATAACAGGTGTATGGTTATGATCTCCATATTTAATACTTTCACTTTTTGTATGGTTATGATTTCCTACATTAAATGCTTTAACCTAAATATATGAAAAATTTGTCACTGCTGCACCTAAAGCGGCTGCAGAAAAATCAAACCCTATATATATATATGAGAAATGATCTTTTGACTCTAGAGTAAGACTTACAAGTCTTACTCCTCATCTCAAACATTGATTTCCGTCCATCTAACGGTTATCTATACCAATTAATTAATTATAAATTTCAAATAAATAATAACCATTAGATGGACAGAAATCAATGGTTGAGATGAGGAGTAAGACTTGTAAGTCTTACTCGAGAGTTAGAAGATCCCTACCCTATATATATATATATATATATATATATATATATATATATATATATATATATATATATATATATATATATGGGTTTTATAAGAGTTATGTTGTAGGAAAGATGATTGTGTTATGTTATAGAGATTCGTTTTGCGTGCTGTAGTTTTTTTTTTTTAAACATGCGGGTCCCACAAAATGTTGTGTGTGTAGAAAATTTTTTATGGTCATGTTAAATGATAGATATAAACCCCTATATATATATATGGTTCGCTTTTTCTGCAGTTACTACAGATAAGTTATATGCAGTAAATCCAATACGACGTCGTTTTGGGTGAAAATCATGATGTTTTTGTAATTTTAATTTATTTGAGGGTTATAATAGTCTTTATATTTATAATTTTTTAAGATTTCAATACCAAAACGACGTCGTTTTGAGAATAAATGCAAATAAGTTATCTGCATTAACTGCAGAAACATTTTTCTCATATATATATATGGGTTTAGCAGATGTAAAGTGACTGCACCTAAGGATTGGTGTAGTCATATAAAACTACATCGTTTTATAATGTGAAAGCATTAAATATAGGGAATATTGAACGAACAAATGTGGAAATAAATATAAAACATTAAATATGAGAAACCATAACCATACAAAGATGAAAATAATTATAATATTTTCATTTTCTACAATTAATTTTGAATGCGAACTTCCTTTATCCCACCCAAAACGATGTAGTTTTTAGGTGACAACACTAATGCTTATATGTAGTCACATTACAAATCATTTTGCTTATATATATATATATATATATATATATATATATATGTATATATATATATATATATATATGCGTTAATCTAACGGATACCGGTGTTAAACTTGTTAAATTTTGTAATCTTAATCGTTGATTTTCGCCAATCTAACAGATATAATTTACGGGTTCGCTTTTTCTGCGGTTACTGCAGATAAGTTATCTGTAGTAAGCCTAATATGACGTCGTTTTAGGACGGAAATCATGGTGTTTTTGTAATTTTAATTTATTTTGGGGTTATTATAGTCTTTAAAATTATAATTTTTTATTCTTTCAATTCCAAAATGACATCGTTTTGGAAATAAATGCAGATAACATATCTGCATTAACTGCAGAAATATTTTTCTCATAATTTATTGAGAATTAATAAATAAATAATTAGTGTTAACCAATAAATTTTAACTATTAGATTAACAAAATTAATAGTTAAAATTTTGTGTAAAACTTCTTAATTAATATATGTGTCAAAAAAATCATGCCCCACATATATATATATATATATATATATATATATATATATATATATATATATATATATATATCAGGCAATAAATGGTTGTGTTAAAGAAAATAAAATTTGTATTAAA